ATAAACGTTTGCAATCTGTTTTATTTTATTATTAATACATATATAAACCGAAAGTATTGGATTTATATTCATGCCATTACTAACGCACCATTTGCAAACTATTTAGTTTAGCAATAATGTTATGTAAATATTTGCGTATATATTGGGTAAGTGTTTTTTGCATATTTCTTCTCAAAGTTGTTTGAATGAAGAAGAGTCGAATCAGCTTTTATATTTGGAAGCTTCAATTTTACCAAATAACTATCACAGCTAGACAGAGCAGAGTGCAGCCGAAAGTAAAGCCGAGCAAAGCAATATTTGGCATATAAGACAAATAGAGAAAGGAGTTTTTTGGTTTTTTGCTGAGATGCGAATGCAAAGCCGACAGCAACTACTGTTTCGAGCTTGAAGTGCACTTTATGCTGCATGTATATGCATGCTGTCGTTGTCGTTGCTGTTGTCTTTGTCGTTGTTGCTGTTGTTGTTGTTGTTGTTGTTGTTGTTGGCATTGTCGTTGCCGTGTTGCAAGTTGCATTTGCATGCCACTCACAACTCACATGTTCTGCATTTTGCAGCCATTTCGACTTTTGTGTTTACGCATTGTCTACTCGCCTGTTCGACTCGTTGCCCTGCCGTGCTGTTGCTGCTCGGTTTTACTCAGCGATTGTTACGCTCTAATTGAAAATATTTTTGTTTGCACTTCATTAAACTGAAATGGCACACAGCAAAGCAATAAACGTGTGAGAGATACTCGCATTGAAGAAAAACTGCATAAATTTGTATTTAAATATATCACAGCAGTCTTTTGCACAGCTCTTCTGAATTATTATTATTAATAAAGTTGTCTGGTTGTTGTTGGTGAGTTTTTGTGTTATTTTAATCCAAAATGCAATCATTGAAATGTATTTTATTTAAGCTGCACTAGGATATTGCATTTTTTGCATACAATTTTGGTAACTTTTTGTATGTAGCTCGAATCCCCGGCGACTTATTGTTATATGCTTGCAACTATTGTGGTTCTCAGAGTGAGTGTGCCACCCGTGCAGCTCGGCATGCTGTTGCTGCTCTGAGTAAATTCAATGGTATTTTGTGCTTTTTGGAACTTTCAGCTGATTCTTTATTGTCAATCGAACAATAACGAAATCATCGGGCAAGTTACGTCAAACGCCGCAGACCCAGCACGGCGAAAACTTTAAGGTAGGCAGCAGCAAGTCAGACAGCCCGAATGACAAGCCCCAGCAGTGAGATTTATATGCCCAGGCGATGTGACTCAATCAATGGCATTTGTGTTGTGTGCAACAACAACAACAACAGCAACAACAACAACGATAGCAACGACAGCAGAAGCAGCAACAACAACAATGTTAACAAGTAGACGAGCGAGAGGAACTGAAGATGCAGCAGAACTTCAGACAGTCGGACGAAGTGAAAGACATGCACAGCATTTTGTATAAAGAAATCAAAAATTTATACAAACTTTGCACAATGAATGAGCAACAACAAAGAGTGCGCACCGTTCCATAGCCATGCTATGGCCGGGATGGGAAGGCTGGGCGCCGCCGCATCGACCTCGTTCCATGGCAATTGCTGAAAATGGTTGCTGTTGACGTCCCTCTGCTCTTTGACAGCAGCAACAGCAGCAAACGGACACTCCGACTGGGGCCGGCAAGCGGGCAACAAAAGGACAAGGCTCAGTCGCCAGACTTCTCAGGAAGCGTACGGAAGCGTTTCAACTTGCATGTGTGTGTGTGTGTGAACTATATAGCAAAAGCTGCATGTGCATGTGCCTGTGCCTGTGCGTGTGCATGTGCATGCGAATGTGCAGGGGAATTAATTAAAAATTCCGAAAATATCCGGCTAGCTCTTTATAACAATTTCTCATGCTCTGTGAACTTCACATCTAGGCCAAAAAAAGTCCTTCAGCATTGTTTTTTTTAATGTACTTTGACTTTTAAACCGAACGGCATTCTATTTCCTAAGCTGTAACCCTCAGTACAGGCCAGAGTCGCTTACTAAATTTATTTTCCGTTTTAAACGCCCAGCCAAATGCATAAATTCAATTATTTTCAGAGGATTTGGAGTAGAGCGATTAAGCACAGAAATGGAAGCCCACATGGAACAAGAGCTCATTTTGCTTGAATTTCCAAAAATATTTTTAGTTCAACAAGAATACATAAAAATGCATTCAATAGACAATATCTATGATATCCGCAGAACAATCGTAATTTCACATGAGAAACTCCTTCCTTTAAGAGACAAAGCTAAATTAATGACCACCCAATGCCATTGGCCTTTAGCCCAAGCATATTGTAAATAATGCACAAAGAGAATACAGAAAATGAAAAAGAAAATGAAAAAAAAATTAGAAAGGCCGTCCATTGACCGGAAGCGCTTTGGCGAAGCTTGACGAGGCAATTTTTCAATAAAATTGAATGGAGCGCTCGTTAAAGGCAAAACAATTGACCACATAAATTAGCGACATTAAAATGGCGAAGCAGGATGTCAGGATGTGCAAGCGATTGATTCAATTAATTGCCAAATTAAAAATGGAATTTTTCCGCAAAAGGCCACAAGAAAGAGGGCCAAAATGACAAAGGGCGATATTATGACAAAGTTAGAAAAGCAAACAATAAACGATTTGTGGGCCACTGGCCCCGAATCGGGCCAAATGCGCGCTCGGCTGGATTTGGGCCTGGCCGGCACACAATAGTGAGAGCAAGCGCCCAGGGGAGTCTCTCTCAGACACAATTGAATTTATTATGGCATTTCAACTCGACAAGCATCAATTGAATATAATTTTATCAACGCCCGCCCACTCGCCCATACATACATGACTATGTGTGCCAAAGAGTAAGCGAAAAAGAGAGAGGGAGACTGAGACTCAATATTTCGAGGGCGGCTCAGTTGCAATAGCCTCATTATTGAACTAAGCCGAAGCTATTGGCCCTCAATGGGCCACAACACGACACATTTGTAGACAAGCACACAGGGCAAAGCACACAAACGACCACAAAGCCAGTTGGTCCAATGCCCTCGGGGTGTATTTTTCGCCACTTTCAGCATTCGCTAAAGTGTTGTATTTTGTCTGCCTTTGACTTGGTTTCTCTGCATCTTTTGCGGCCAAAGTTTTCCACAACAATAACAACCATCGCACATCACACACGCCTAAGCTCTGCTCTATGTGTGTCAATGTTTTTCTTAGTGTGTTGTGCATGATTCTCAACGTTTTGATATGTTGTCGTAGACTGCGGCGTCTATCGCGACTTTGTGGTGATTTCAGACTGTTGACATATTTTGCAGGCAGTTTGTGACAGGCTTTCAAAGTGCATAACTATTATTGAATATGTATTTATTGCTATCTGGCATTTATTGAAAACTAACAAGTTTAAGAATAATCATTTGAGTAAAACATTTTATTAAAATTTACCATTTTCAATGGGTTCAGGGTATAAGAACTAGCACAATTCAATAAAATTTAAATAGTTAAAAAAAAAAATTAAAAATTGACATAATTGACATAATTGAAATTTAAAACTCTACACGTATTTTAAATTTAGATAGTTTTTTCATTTAACGAGTAAATATTATTGCTTTCAAAGAGTAACCCTTGCTCACTCACTAATCGATGTGCAGAGAAAATAATTTAGGTTACAACAGGGTAAACGTTCTTTTGTTGAAATCGAACAGCTCTCATCTCTCACTTCGTTAACGAGCATACAAATTATTATGGCAAATGCAATACCAACTGAATTGCTGAAAATATCCGTTGACTGTTACACAAATACGTTACCTGCACTTCCAATGAGCCGCAATATTTTGCGAGCAATATCAACAGATATAATGACTCGTGGGCTATGCGCATAAAACTGATGGGATTTATATATAGCACGTTGGCATGGCAACAATTGAAAATAATGCATGAGTTATTAACAGGCGTAGCACTGATTTGTTGGTTATTAACATGGCTTAATTAGCCAGCGGCTTACACAGCTTCACTTAAAACAGCTGATCGAACAGCATTAAAGTGAATGTAAACATGTGAGCGTGCTGTAGGCAGGAGTTTTTGACCAAGAGGAAGAGTCGAGCAGAACTAGGGAATAGCTTGTTGTGTCTTATATTAGATGGAAACAATATAGAGCACATATGTCGTAACTCTACATACATATCAATATTTTACACTACAAACACCTACCATAGTAAACTTATGATCTCCTAGTGGAAGATAGTCTTTCTCAATAGATGAATGTTAGATATAAAAACAAAGCTAAGTTCTTTATTTAGTATTGACTTGATCAAAACATAAGCAATTATGAAACACGAATCAAATGGGAATTTTAAAAATGTGTATATCACATCAATAAAGTTAAGCTTTGTTTAATTTGCACTTCCATAATTTGTAAGGATTATGGAATTGTAGAAAATTGAAGTTGACAAATGGAAAGTTACCTCAGCTCTGAGAGTAATAAAAGACGTATGTAGATGCCGCCCAATATGACTGAGATAGCGTCTGTCATCCCGGGAATATATGTAGCCTAGCCCAAATAGTAAAAGTTTAACATGGCAGTGAAAACTTCACTGCAAGGCTTAATTGATACTTGAATGCTGAGCACGCGAAATTTGAGTAATAGCATCAGCAGCTGCAGCAACCAATTGATTAAGATCGTTTACACGCGTGTTAATTAATAGTGGCAATTCATATAGTTGGTTTAATTTGCCAATTTTTATAACAGATCCTTATATAAGCATGCACTATTTTAATATGCCATTTACCTGCACATCCTGGCGTTGTCAAAGATAATAAATACAAGTATGCTCCTATTTAATTGTTAGAAGCCAATTGAGTTTTTTCATTCTAAATAATTTTATGTACTCAAATAATAATTAATTAAATAAAATACTTTACAAATACATCTATTTATTTGTAAAGAAAACATACCGACAATGTCTCCAAAATGGCCATCGATGCGACAGCCACGCTGGGCTCGCATCATCGTCAGGTTCAAGGGTTGCCTGTTGTCCGGTCAAATGCAGGTGACCTCAAACCAGGCGCTGTCATAGATGGCCCACGCAAATTGTTGACTCTGCTCTTTGAGATGCCCACCGCAGTGACAGTAGAGGAAAATCTGGGCCAGAATGGAGCTGGTGAATGCAGCATAATGTAGGACCTCCAGCTGAGCTAGATTTTCAGACAGCTGATAGCTTAGCACGCACAGAAGCAGCGACGCCACAAGGAACTGCATGTTGATCAAAGGCCGGAACAGGCGATTCAATGTCAGCGACATGTGTAGAGAGTACTGGTAAATTGTTAAAATGTTTCGTAAATTCGTCTGGGTCTCCGACAAAGTTTCGCCCCGAAATCGTTTCATTTGGCTCTGCGCTATTTCGAACAGCGCACACAAGTTGCAGGTCAGCGAGCAGAAAACTGTATCCATGCACACAGTAAAGAGCAGGACGCCCACTACGCCTGATGCATTCCACACATACGATACCAAATAGTTGCGTGCAATGCGATTATCCCACGGATTCCTACAATGGGCCGTGTGCGACTGCAATTGAACATTTCTTTAAAGCCATCAAACTTAGTCGCTCGGAAATGGCAACTCCGGCTGCCCTGAGCTTGGAGCGGACATCAATGCTTGCATCAAGGGCAGCAGACAAACCGACTTGTAGAGAGCCAACAAAGTAATCATTAGCGAGCAGCGGCCGTCGGTCAACTTGTCCATATTTGCCACATTGCATGAAACCGATCCGCAATGCCTGCCAGCAAATAAATTGATGCCCAGCAGGCGCAAACAGACATCTTGCAACTTGAGAAGGCGGCTCGTCAGCATGATGCAACTGTTCGATTGTGGATGTCACTTGTCAATGTCTGGCGCTTAACGCATGGCACACTTGATGGAACCAAGCGCAGCGACACAGGTGTCTAATTGCAATTTAATTGCTTTTACCTGAACACACACGGACACTTATCCAGCTCCCATGGGCCTAAATTGCGCGCTCATTATACCCTGAACCCATTGAAAATGGGAAATCAGGGTATAATGGTTTTGTGAAAAGTATGTAACTGGCAGAAGAAATCATCGCAGACCCCATCAAGTATATACATACATATATTCTTGACCAGAGCGATGAGCTGAGACGATAAAGCCCTGTCCGTCTGTCCGTCCTCCCGTATGAACGCCTAGATCTGGTAAGTTATAAGAGCTAGAGAGCATGTAGACTCGTATATACCATACGCAGTACAAGAGTATCATATTTTTCGATAACGTATTCGATATATTTTATCGAGAATAATCGATAAATTCCTTTGTTTCTTAGCCTATTTTGAATACTATTAGACCTGGAGACTTCAGATTTACTGTGTATATACATTTCATGAATACGAAGATTTTGTACAGATTGTGGATACCCCGCCCCCTTCGTGACGAATTTCAACAAAAACAAGTACTAGAAACTTATGCTTTGAGCCACAAGATAGTCCTATTACCAGAGAAATTGTTTAACAAATAAATTTACAGAATATTGTCCACACTGCAGCGCAGCCCAAGTGCAGTCGCTGCTTACTGCGCAGTTAGCAGAGCGCGTACTTATGCGTGCGTGTGTATGCATGTGTGCATAAAAGAAGTGCAGAGTAGAAATCAGCTTAGTGGGTTCAGGGTATCTCCTAGTCGAGCAGTCTCGACTGGAGCCTTCTTACTTGTTAAATTTAAAATTTAATATGGACAGCTCAATAATGCCTTACCTTATATTAGTTTGAGGAACCCTGAGTCATGAAGGTCTTTCTAAACTAAGATTGTTAGAGTAAGCATATTGCAGGAGAGAAATGAAAGCCTTTGCTTTGATACGTGTAGTTTTTCCGAAAAACCATTTACACTTGAGAGGGACAATCCGATCTCCACATTAGAATGAAATTGCATTAACAGCTCGCTGTTGGCTCTAGACCCCACATTTAATCCCACAACGCAATGATAGACTCTGACAGAGCTTGCCTTAAAAGCGTATCACAAATCCTGCGATAACATGCTGGGTCTCATCAAAATGCAAATACAGCTTGTTGCGAGTGAGCAAATTCTTAAAAAGTTCCCAAAATGGTAAACAGTAACAGCCGAGTGCTGAAAATTGCGCATTGTGAGCTGCTTATTGTTGTTTGTGCAATAAATCATACTTAATTAAAAACAATTAGAAGCAAATCTAATACTATTTTGCATACAAGCAAAACATAAAGGCTTGACCCCAATCATCTTCCGGCAGACTATGGAACTTTTCCATACAAGTCTGTTGGCAGCATGTGAATGCCATGGCAAATATTTGGCAATGTTTTCTAGCAACAACAGAGCAAATCTTTGTTACATTTCAAATGTGCAAACATGTTCGGAGCCAGCCTGCCCACACCACAGTCCCATCACAGTCAGTTTGCAGCCATTTGGGCAACTTTTTGTGCATTTACTTTGAGCGCTGGCATTGATAATCTCAGTTTTGTGTCGGGCATTAGAGTTGATTTTGGAAATATTTTAATTATTCAATGTCCCAGAGAAGTTTGGCCAACTGTCCGGCGGTAGGTCGGGTCAGCTGCACAAAGCTCAGCTGCACAAAAATCATGCTCAACAGTTGGTCAAACAATTTGGCAAACATGCAATCATTGGCCAACAAACTCATGCAATTACTCGACAGCATGCAACCACTTACGTAAATGGGCCACTGGTTGACCATGTAGGGCGTGAGCGTGGCGTGGGTGTGGGCGTGGCATGCACACAAGTGCATGCATTTAAAGGTGGCATAAATTGGAATTAAAATGAAACGCAAGAGCTGACTGAGAAGATTTGACAAATATTGACAGCATAATTAATTTGTGAGCGAAGCGACATTGTCGTATTTGCCTTTGCTCTGGCTTATTTAATTATTAACAATAACATTTTAATTATGCAACTTTTGCGTTTTACGACTGTAATTAATTAACATTTTTTGACAAGCAGCCCGCATAGCTTCATTTTCATTGAAAAAAAAAGAAAAGATTTCAACAAAACATAAAAATAGAAGAGAATAGAGCCCAGGGGTAAAATGGACACAGAAACTTTTGCAGCTACTAGTCTGCGCCTAGGCACATAAAGTAAACATTGACACACTGCCACGCCCACGGGCAACTAAAGGAGTTTCAGTTTATACAGTATTTTGTAGCACAAAACTTGCTCGAAACTCAGCTGGCAGCTGAGGCAGTAGCCCTTCGCCCATCCAAATGGGCGCCGGCCAGTGTGAAGTGCGACAACTGACAGGAGCACAGGGGCGTTGGGTTGTAGAGGGGGGCTGAGTGCAGAGTATGCAGCACCGAAAACTCCCAAGAACTTTATGCGCTACGTGGTATTGTTATTACTATGCTGATATTGCCATTGTTGTTGCATTCACAATACTTTACTTTGTGCGGAGTTCCACGGACTAAATCATTCAGTTGAGAGCCTCGATGAAATGCCGTGAGAAAATAAGGATATTCGAATACGCTTTAAAGTACTTTTAAAAATTTATAAAATAATATAATCTTAGTAAATTAATGTTAGACTCCATATACTA